ACTGGCGTCTGGATGCTGGTTGTAGAGATCACACCCCCTCAGGCAGTAGGGTGGGGGTGGGGCAGTGTCCCAGTCACATCTCAGCCCGCCTGTGGGGCAAGGGGATTAGGACCCCCCTCAGCAGGCGAGACAACTCAGATGCAGAGAAGTCCAGACCTACAAACAGGGGGGCCCCTGTCTGCTGGATGGCACATTCTGTGAGCTGCCATCCTGCTTATTAGAGGACAAGCTAGAGCCTTCCAAAGAGCCCACTGTCGGGTCGTCCTGGAGGTGGCTGGCTGTGTGTGTGGAGTGAGGGGCCCTGGTGGGGGCAGGGCCGTGGGCAGCGCTGGGTTCAGCGTCAGCTCTGGAGCCCGGCGCCGGTGCCTCACGCCAGCCGTCCCGGCCACTCCGGAGGCTGAGATCTGAGGATTGAAAAATCCACAAGCATCTGTCTCCAGATCTTTGTAATTGGCTTTCTGCGGTCTGCTGGCGCTAAAAGAAAGACTCCAACATTCAACCTCTCAACAAAAAGAATCCGTCTCTAATGAGCCCGTTAAAAAGTTGGGCTAGAGGTGTGATTCAGGTAGCAGAGTGCCAGGTAAGCGTGCAAGCCGAGCGAGAGCGCGAGGCCCTGGGGGGAAGGAGCGGGAGGAGAAGGAAAGTCTCAGTTCTTCTGCGGTCACCTCTGGGTGCTCTGCACTCCAGTTCTGCTCTGGAAACCAGTGGGGTTTGGGGGTGTGTGTGAGGGGGGAGATGTTCACCCCCATTTTGGCAGGTCCTTAGCTTGGGGCCAGAACCAGGGCGCTCTGAGAACTGCCAGCTGGCTGCCTCCCCTCGCGTGGGGGCAGCCCCATTCGCCAGGGTGTTCCTGGTGCCCCGCGTGCTCAGGACCTGTGAGATTGCCCACAGAGCTCCCTGTGCCCTGGGAGGGGGGGGGGCAGGGCTCTTCTGAGTCCTTGTGGGACCTCGGCCGGCCTCAGTGGGACCTGGCTCCCTGCAGAACTACTCGCGGGGGCCCCCTGTGGGCAGGAGGACTGCACACATCCCAGGGCTGGTTTTCTCTTGGGCTCTGCCAGGTGCTTCCACCTCACAGTGCCTCCCACCCCACCTCTGCACAGCTCGGGCCTCCCACAGCCTCCGGGGCCAGCTGCCCCCACCCTGCCCACCCCGCGTCGCCAGAGGCTAGTGATGGCCAGGCTGTAGCCAGTGTGGATGGCATGGAGGGTCTCGGGGGCTGTGGTTTCTCCTCTATGTAGAGACCAGGTAGACTTGCTAGTCTCTGATATAAAGGGCGTGTGTGTGTGTGTGTGTGTGTGTGTGTGTGTGTGTGTGTGTGTTGCTTCTGGGCGGTTGGTGGCAATCAAGCAGAAGAAATCCTTTCTGCTTACCGAGGTGGTAGGGTGGGAAGAATTCGAGCACAGGGCCCCCCTCTGCACCCAGGGGGTGAGGAGGAGATCCAGGCTCTTCTGATCCTCCGTGCGCCCTCAGTCTAGATACACAGGGACCCCTAGAAGCTTCTGGACTGTTTGCACCCGAGCTTGGGAGTGCGGGCAGGCATGGAAAGTGGCTGATCTGCCTCTGGAGTCCCATCCAGCCCTAGGTCTCTCTGGCTGACTCCCTACCTTCAACGGGGGAAGGTTGCACAACATCTCTAACACTTCCCGAATGTTACTCCTTCCTCCCGTCAGAGAGGGGCACATTCCGCCCAGGACAGAAGACAAGCCAGGCAGTCCCTGCTCCCTTTCCAGCTGTGTGACCCAAGAAAAGTTACTTCACCTCTGGAGAAGGTGTGTCCATCTGTTAAATGGAAACAGTGGCACCCTCCTGGGAGGGTTGTTGTGAAGTACGGTGCCAATCATGAGTGTCAAAAGCTAACCCAGTAAGCCGGGCGCCGGTGGCTCACACCTGAAATCCTTACTACTCAGGAGGCTGAGATCTGAGGGTTGTGGTTCCAAGCCAGGAAAGTCTGTGAGACTTTTATTCTCCAATTAACCTGCAAAAAACTGAAAGTGGAGCTGTGGTTCAAGTGCTAGAGCATCAGCCTTGAGCACAAAAACTCAAGGACAGCAGCCAGGCTCTGAGTTCAAGCTCCAGCCTTGGCATGCACGCACACACACAAACACACACACACACCATCTAAGTGTGTGTCTGGTGCACACTGGGGCCACCGCAGTACCTGTGTGACATGCTACCCTGTGCCATAGCGTAATGTGCCACCTTGGCAGGCAGCTCTCTAGCTTGGACCTCACCCCTGCCTCCTGTGTGTGCTTCTCTAAGAATTCCCTCCTGCGAGGCTGCTGGGCGGGCCTGACTCTCCGCAGGGCCCCAGGGTGCACCCACCAGAACCTCCAGGGCACTAGCCCTGGAGTGCAGGGAGGAAAGGGGCGGGGTATAGGCGGGGCTTCACGCTCAGCAGTGGTGACATCACCCACCCCACCCACCAATCAGGAGAGGAGGATGCAGAATCCATAGAATCCCAGAACTGGAAGTGGCTGTTGGGATTCAGTCTATTTCACACAGGAGCAAAGTTGAGACCTGGTGCTTGTCAGGGATCAGATTCAAGGCCAACCTCTGCATGAGGCTCACCCATGACTTCCATGGGAAAGGTGACATTTGCAGTCTTGAAGAAACAAAAGACACCCCCTCCCTCCTTACCTTGTCCTGGCAGAGATGGGGGAAGGACCTGGGGGGGAAGGGCCTGGGGAGGGGGAGGGCTCCTCCATCCCCACAGTAGACATTGTATAAAGGTGGAGCTGGGGTTAGAGGTCATGCTGCAATGACCTTGTGCACCTGCTCTGGGCCGCACCACGCACTCCCATACCTGCTGTCCTCAACCTGGGGCCACACCCACAGGCCTGGGAGCCCTGCCGAGGAAGGGCTGTGGGAGAGCCCGGCCTCCCAGGCCACGGGCAGGGGCGAGGCTAGGATACCAAGGGGATGATGATCCGAGCTGGCAAAGCCCTGGCCTGGCATAACCAGCCTCGCCAGGGCAGTCTCGGCTCCGTGTCCTCAGTCAGCTGGGACACAGCCTTCCCTGGAGAGGAGGTTGGACTTGAGCAGCCCCTCCCAGAGGCGGGAGGCCGGGGAGCCCTGCTGGAAGGCCCTGCATCTCCCTTGTTCATCCCAGCTGCCTCCTGCCAAAAAGCCACCGGTCCCCAAGGAGCTGCAGGAGCCCCCTGAGACTGGGAACCTGGCACCCCCAGAACGGGGGTAAACTGAGGCAGGAGCCACTGAGCAGGCTTGGAGAGGGCAGACCTACACTGTAAGAGGTGGGTAAGCTGGGGGGGGGTGCCCTGAGCTCAGGCCTGTTTGCCCTTTGGACATAAGACACCTTTATGTGATGTGTACAGCCCACGTGCATGCTGGGTAAAGAGCAGGAGAGGGGACAGTTGGGCAGGATGCCCCCAGGTAGGGCCCATGTCCCTTCAGGAGCTCTGGTCCAGGAGGGTGGCCTCAGCCACGCTCACTGCTGACAATGCCCCATCCTCATCTATAACGCATTCATTGCCCTCCTGCAGCCTGCCAGCTGCTGAATTGGAGGCTGAGATGCCACCAGCAGACTTCACCCAGCAAAGCTGCCTGTTCTAGTGGAGAGAGCGTGGGGTGTCAGGTGACCGGCGTCCTGGTTTGGAGGGAGGCTGGGTGCAGGCGTGCAGGCACACTGGGCCGTTTGCAACAGGCGAGGAGCACGGAGCCAGTGCCCTGCGGGATCTGGGAGCAGAATGTTTCAGAGCAGATCAGCGTGCTGGTGAGCTTGCAGATGAGCAGGAGTAGGGTAGAGTCACGTAGGGGGGTGCAACTGTATCTCTCTTTGAAGCTCTCTGGGTGTCGGGGAGGGATCTTGAGATGGCACATCGTGGAGTTCTCACTACAGGAGTGGCGAAAGATCACAGATTCAAAATCGTGTGTTGTCTTGGTTGTCTAGACTTAAGAACCATAGTAACAGAGGAAGGTGAAGGGCTGGATGTGGTAGTGCATGCCTGTAATCCCGGCACTCAGGACTATGAGTTTGAAGACAGCCTCAGCTCCATAGAGAGATCCTGTCTCCCCTGTAGTGTCTACTGAGGGTTATGTTGGGGTTAGAACGGAAGATGGAGACGGAGTTCTTTTGGTACCTCGGTGGTCTCACACAGCTGTAGCGACGGTTACACTTGGGGGGAATGTGAGCAGGCTGGCACACAGTGTGCTGGTGAGACGCCTTTGCTCTCAGCTCTGGCCTGGTCTCCCTCTGTCTCCAGCGCAGCCCCGGCCTGCTCCCCAATTCCACTTTCACCATGGCCAGCGTGGGGGAGCCGCTTGCTGGGGCTGTAGGGACAGGGCAGAGGCCCAGCAGATGAGGCCCAGACAGCGGTGGCTTGGGCAGCCCGAGGACTCCCTGTCCCCCCAAGTCCGGAGCTCTGGGGCATCAGGTGGGGGTGGGGCGGCATAGCAGGGGAGGATGAATGTACCCCAGGATCCTCAGTGCGGCACCTGGCCCAGAGCAGGTGCCCAACAAACACTTGCTAGTGAATGAATGGGGTCTCATCTCCTGCTTCCCGGCAGGGGGTCTTAGGCCTGTCTCCAGGGGGTACAGCACGTGACCAGTAGGTTCCCCATTCATCCTCTTCCTGCTATGCCGCCCCCACCCCCACCTGATGCCCCAGAGCTCCGGACTTGGGGGGACAGGGAGCCCTCGGGCTGCCCAGGCCGCCGTCTGGGCCTCATCTGCTGGGCTTCAGCGCATGGACCTGATTAAGGAAGGTCCAGGGAAAAGGAGGAAGAGCCAGAAAGGGGGGCGGGGGGGGGGGAGGAAGGTAAGCCCGGGGTAGTCTTCAATGGAGGGGTTCACTGAGAAGATAACCCTTCAGCAGAGCCCTGAAATGTGCGTCTGTGGCCAACGGGGGTGGGGGGAGGTGGGGGGGCGGTGGGGGGAAGAGGTGGGGGGGGAACAGGAGGCCCTGAGGCTGGAGAGCCTAGGATGGCCAGCTATTAAGAAGGGGTGCGTCTCCTGAGTCCCCCTTCCTTTCTCTTCTCTGCAGTGATGTGCCCGAGGGCACGAAGACTTTTGGGGTCTCTGGGAGCTCTGGCGTGGAGGTCTTCACGGTCCACGGCCCCTCACAGGTGACAAAGCCCGCAGGCAAGGCCCGCTGGCCCCTGGACAGCAATACTGGTGTGTTTGTCTCCGTGGACACAGCCAGCAAGGATTTAGATGACCTCCAGGTGAGCGCCCCTCCACAGCGCCCCCTTTCACGACACCCCCACTCACAGACCACTCCATTCAACCCAACCCCACCAAGTTTAAGTGGACACCCATTCAGCCTGTCCTGGGAGAGCTCCCACAAACCACCTAGCACTCCATCTCCACACCCCTGCAGAGAATGCCCCTAATCTCGCTTAATCCCGGCTTTCACCCCTGTGTTCACCTTACACCCCAGGAGGGCAGGGGTTCCCACCAGAAGCCCCCCACACATGGAACTCTACAGCAACAATGTGTGCCCACATCTGCCCCCGCCCCTGAGCCCGTCAGCGCTTTCCACTCCTGTGGAAACGGTTGTCAGATCAGACAAAAGCCACTGTCTGTGAACATATCCCCTGGGGGTCCTGCTGCACCCCCCCCCCGCAGCCCTGAGGCCAGGCTGTACCTGGCTCCTGGCTGTGCGCTCGCTGCCTCTAAGCAGCCCGCTTGGTCCCGCAGGTGAAGGTGTCTTACTTTGGATCTCAGGAGGGCCGGGCGCTGGGCCACGGTGTGCTCTACCTCACTGGTGTGGGTGAGTGCCCCCTCCATGCTGGCCGGGGCGGGTGGCAGCAGGGGGGTCACAGCGCAGCTCTGAGGAGGCTCGGCCTGGCCCCCTCCCCGGCTGAGGACGCTGAGCCCTCCCAGTTCAAGTCCATGTTCAAGGCCGCACCGGGGTTCCCACACAGGGACCCCAGGGCCAGTGGCACGGGGCCTCTGGAGGGTGTGGGATGGGCCCCAGGGCTGGACATCGGGTCCTCCCAGAGCTTGGAGATCTGGGCATTGAGGGTGCAGAGATGGGAACCCCTCTCCTCCATTTCCAGATGTTTCTCTTGATGTGGACACACGCCGCACAGGCAAGGCAAGGAAGAGCCGGACTGACAAGGTGAGACCTGCTGGCCTTCTTGTAGGCCACAGGACTGATCTCGGGGTGGACAGGGCCCTCCCTGCAGGAGGATAGTGAGCCTTCAGACCCTTCCAGGATGGCTCACCGGGCACAGGTGCGCATTCACCTACACCAGGTTATTGATGTGCTGTGCGGCGGTTGGGAAACAGCTTGCCCTTTCTGGTCTCTCTTGTGCCAGCTTGGAATTGAGATTGCTTCTCTTGCTTGCTCCCTTTTCTATTTCTTTTTGTGGGGGGAGGGAGTGCTGAATTGGAATCCCTGAACATGAAGGATGCTGCACAAGTAGTCATGTGACCGGGTGGAGGCTGCGCTGGTGTCCAGCCCCAATTATATTCCCCCCCCCCCCCCCGGGAAGTGTCTGGAAGCTGTGTGGAGGGGTGGGAGGTCTGGTATGTAGGTGGAGACTGCAGAGAGGCAGCCTGGATCACGGGGCTTTGTGAATGGGCGGGGGGGGGGGGGGGGGCGGCGTGGGAGCGGGCGGCCTGCAGGGCTGCGCAGGTTGCTCACTGCTCATGAGAACATGCCCAAAGCGGTCAGTGCCCTGCAAACCCTGTCCTGGTTCCCTGCGGAGGGTGGCAGCCTGCCTGTCCTCCTTCTGTGACCTTGGGGGGGGGGGCTGAGACCCGTGAGGGTCTTTGGGGGGTGAGGAGGACATAGGATGGGGGACTCCAGACTCGCAGGCAGGGCTTCAGCCATCTTCTCCCCTCAGCTTGGACTTGAGCAGGATGCCGGGCATCTCTGCCCCAGGCCCCGGAGAGTTCTGGGAGAGAGGCTGTGAGGATCCCCCAAGACCTCTGCAGTCCCCCACCCTCCTGATGGAGCAGCGGCCTACCGCCTGCTGGGCAGGGCCAAGGCTCAGCCGTTTCTGCCTCTCCCCTGTGTGTGGCTGTGTGTGTACATTGTCCACTGCACAAGCTGGGCGCTCCGTCCACCCCAGGTCCAGGCCCTTCCTTAAATCTCCACGTACACCTGGGACTCAGAGGTGTGCAGGCTGACCACAGCTGCCCGGGTCAGGTCCAGGCCCCTTCCTGGAGACCCGAGGTCCCCACTCACCTCAAGCTTTGCTGATTTGCCACAGAAAACCTGGTACTGGGGCCCTGAGGGCTACGGGGCCATCCTGCTGGTGAACTGTGACAAGGACAGTCCTCGGTCCAGGGACCCGGACCTGAAGCACAGTCAGCTGACCTCCCTGGACGGTAAGGGACAAGAAAGGTGCTGGGCATGGCGAGGACAGGCAGGGGAGGGTGGACTCCAGGGGACCACTCTCAGCTGGGGGCCAGGGGCTCACGCCTTTAATCCCAGCTACTCAGGAGGCTGAGATCCGAGGACCGAGGGTCGAAGGCCAGCCTGGGCAAGGAAGGCCTGAGGCTCTTATCCCCCACAAACCACCAAAAAGCAGGGCATGGAGCTGTGGCTCAAGCGGTAGAGCGCTAGCGTCGAGTGGAAAAGCTCAGGGGCAGCGCCCGGGCCCGGGGTTCAAGCTCTGGTACAGACACACACCCACATGGGGCCACACTTCCAGACCTGCAGGACATGTCCCCCATGGTGCTGAGTTGCACCGGCCCGGACGATGTCTTCCGCAGCCACAAGCTGCTTCTGAAGGTGTCCTCACCAGACTCCCAAAGGCTGCGCGTCTTCTGTGCGCGGGGTGAGTGGCCAGCTGCCCCCCCCAGCTCCATCCCTGCCCTCCCTCTCCTCTCCTCCCCTTCCTCCATCACCCTCCCCACGGCCCACTGAGATGACTCATTTCCTCCCCCCTGGTCCTCCCCCCTGCCCCCCCAGCCCCAGCTCCAGCCCCACTTGCTCCTCCCTAGGTGGCACTGCCCTGGCCAACTACAAGATGGTGCTGGGGCCCTCTCGCCTCACCTACCAAGTGGACCGCCAGCAGGGCGAGCGGGAGATCGCGTTCCACGTGGAGGGGCTCACCTTCCCCAATGCCCACTTCCCGGGGCTCGTCTCCCTCAGCGTCAGCCTGGTGGACACACGGGTGTGTGTAAGGGGGTGGAGGCTGAGGGGCTTGAGGACCAAGTGTGGAGGTTCTGAGGTTGGGGGAGGAGGGGCAGGCTAGAGGTGAGGAAGCCTGCTGTTCACCCCCCCCCCCCCCGGCCACTGTAGGACCACTGAATCAACCCCTCTTCTGCCCCAGGCCCTGTCCGAGGTGGCGCTATTCACAGACACCGTGGTCTTCCGCATGGCCCCGTGGATCATGACACCTAACACGCAGCCCCCCCTGGAGCTGTATGTGTGCAGGTGAGCCCCCTTCCCCGAGTTGTGTGTGTGCAGATGAGTCACACACACACACACTGGGCAGGACAGCTCTCTCCAACAATCCAGGCACCGGGGAGAGAGGAGGGCAGAGCAGGTGGCTCTGGAGTTCTTGGCTTCACGACTGGACAGCTTGGGTCCCCATCGAGGTCACAGCTTCCGCTCCAGCCCCAGCCCCTGCCCCGTCCCATCGCAGAGCCCGGGTCACTGGGGTTTGGCCTGGGCAGAGAGGCCAGGCCTGCTCAGGCTGCAGGAAGCCACGGGCGACCAGCCTCACTCCCGTGCCTGCAGATAACAGGAGGCCTGGCCTCCTGGGTGCTCTGGGAGTCCAGGGCAGCGTCGGGAGGCCGGACCCCTCCGTGGGAGGGCGGGCCTCCATCGGGAGGTCTTTCCTCCTGTCTGCCGTCCTCCACAAGCTGGCCTTCTGCTCAGGGTCCCTCACGTGGACCAGTGGTGGGCAGGGCTGAGAGTCCTCTCGCTGCCACCCTAACTGGTGACATTGACCCCAGGCTGCCCTATGGCAACCCTGGGCCGCCTGGCTGGGTTTGGGGCCCTGGCCTGGGCCCCTCCAGGTGCCTGTCCCCTGCTGTGATTCGGGCGCACTCAGCCCCGCTCTCACGGGTGCACGCGTGTCCCCCGGCCAGCGGCCCGGCTGGTGGCCCTACCCAGGGGCGGCCAGGGCCCCGGGCAGGCTGAGTCGAGCTGTGGTCTTCTTTTGCAGCGTAATGGATCCCCATGGCTCCAACGAGAAGTTTCTGGACGACATGGCTTACCTGGCAGTGAAGGCCAAGTGCAAGCTGGTTGTCTGCCCCCAGGCGGAAAATCGCAATGACCGTTGGATCCAGGTGGGTGAGGGAAAGAGAAGAGCTGGGGTGGGGGAGGGGGGGCTGGGCCCCCAGGACGGGGGGAAGGGGAGCTGGGCCCCCAGGACGGGGGGGGGGGTCCCGGGAGGCATTCCTCCCACCCTGTCCTTGTCCTGCCCCAGGCCAGCTGGGGACACCGGTCCTCATCACCTCTGTGGCTCTGTCTTCTCTCCTGCCCAGGATGAGATGGAGTTTGGCTACGTCGAAGCCCCCCACAAATCTTTCCCCGTGGTCTTCGACTCCCCTCGAAACAGAGGCCTGAGGGACTTCTCCTATAAGAAGATTCTGGTGTGTGGGAAGGGTAGACTGGGGAGCCCTTGTGGGGGTCCCTGGTCAGGCCTCACCTGGTCCTTCGAGCTGGGGGAGGGGTAAAGGATATGGGGTGGAATGTAAATGTTACGCAAATGACATGCAGATGCCATGCAAATAGGCAACTCCCCATTCTGAGAGGTGCAAAAGAGCAAAGTTCCCCCAGGTAAGAGGCTTTTAGTAGGGGAACGAACAGAGGGGTCAGTCGCCTTGAGGAGACCAAACCCACTGCAAGAATCTTCAACAGCTCCCTTCCTTCCTTCCTTCCTTCCTTCCTTCCTTCCTTCCTTCCTTCCTTCCTTCCTTCCTTCCTTCCTTCCTTCCTTCCTTCCTTGCGCTCCTTGTGAGCGCTCTACCACTTGAGCTACAGCGCCACTTCCGGTTTTCTGGTGGTTTATTGGAGATGAGAGTTTCACGGACTTTCTTGCCCGGGCTGGCTCTGAACCACGATCCTCAGATCTCAGCCTCCTGAGTAGCTAGGATTACAGGCGTGAGCCACTGGTGCCCGGCTTGACTTTGGTTTTTTTGTTTTTGTTTTTGAACTCAGTGCATGCTACACGTGTGCTCTATCTACTCCTTGAAGCATGCCTCCAGCCCCCTTTGCCTTGGCTGTTTTCGAGGTAGAATCTCACTTTATCCAGGCTGGCCTGGGCTGGGATCCTTTTACTGGAGCTTCCTGGAGTCACTGGGGATGTCAGGTGTGAGCTACTGCACCCAGACCTTAGTTGCGATGAAGTCTTTCAAGCTTCTTCTGTTTTATTTTTTAGTTATTTATTTGGGGTGGGGGGCACGGCTGGCCTTGAACTCGGATCTCTCTATCTCTGCCTTTTCAAGTAGCTGGGATTACAGGCTTGAGCCTCACACCCAGACTTCCGGTTCTCTAGATAGGTGCTGCTTGACTTCCAGACACTGGGGACTTTCTAGTTCTCTCTTTGGGGCTGACGTGTCCTTTGTTACCAGTGTTAGTGGCTAGGCCTTAGTCACAGTGAGCACCAGGGTCTTTCAGGCTGGGGAGGAGGGTATAGGAGGCTCTGGATGCTCTTCCTTTCTGGCCTGACTGGCCCCTCCTGCTGGGGCGGGGTCTTGCTGTTCCTTCCCTAGGGTCCTGACTTCGGCTATGTGACCCAGGAGGACCAGTTCTCCGGCCCCTCCAGCCTGGATTCCTTTGGCAACCTGGACGTCAGCCCGCCGGTCACGGTGGGTGGCAGGGAGTACCCACTGGGCCGGGTCCTCATCGGAGGCAGCTTCCCCAAGTGAGTGGCCAGCTTGGGGGGGGAGGGGCACGGGGTGATGGCAGTATCCCCAGTTCCCCAGCCTGGAAGGCAGGCTGCACAGGCTGCCTGGACTCCCGGAATTAGAGACTCAGAAGTAGAACCCACCCAGGAGTGGCCCTGAGGCCTTTGATGCACCTAATTGGATGAGTGTAATTCGTTACCAATATTGAACACAGCAGTTGACCACAGATTAAAAAGTCAGATCTTGCCAGGCACTGGTGGCTCATGCCTGGAATCCCAGCTACTCAAGAAAGAGGCTGAGATCTGAGGATTGTCGTTTGAAGTCAGCCTGGGCAGGAAAGTCTGTGAGAATTATATTTCTAACTAAGCAGCAAAAAGCTGGAAGTGGAGCTTTGGCTCAAGTAATAGAGTGCTAGTCTTGAGTGAAAAAAACCTAAGAGACAGTGTCCAGGTCCTAGACCGTGCACACGTGCACATGTGTATACACACACACACACACACACACACACACAAGCAAGATCTCCTAGCTGTTGGGAAAGCTCAGCAGGGTCCTGAAAGGGAGCAGGACTTGTCACCATAGCTACAGTCCTGGCAGAAACTCAAAAGGCTCTGGCAGTATCCAGGGCAGGTGGGCGCAGGTGAGTGAGTGCTGACAGCGTGGCAGCTGGGACCGGGCAGGTCGGGAGGCTTGTGGGGTTTCGTGTCCAGCCAGCTGCCTCTCAGCTGCCCAAGCAGACGGAGTTCATATTCTGCCTGCAGGGAGCCAAAGATTAGGGAGAGGGGTCAGGCTGCTGGGGTCCGGTGGACCCCCTCTCCCCACCACAAACCCCCAAGCAGCTTCCTGTCTGTGGGGTTGGTGCGGAGCCTAGGTGGGCACCAACTTGCCGTCCAATCCCTGGCTGGCGTCTGGTCCCAGGCCGGGAGGAGTCGGAGGATGGTGGGAAAGTCACGGAGCCTCACGCGGGGACCCCACGGGGGCCAGGGCTTGGAATCAGGTGAGATGAGGTTGACTGGCACCAACCCAGGCACAGAGCTGAGTGCCCCATGCACAGACACCACAGCATGGCCGAGCCTGCCACCCACAGGGACTCAGAGGCCTCCAGACCTCTGGCCGGACTTCCTGTGCCTAGTGGGAGAGACCTGTGAGTTAGGAGCTCGGTCTTTGGAGTCAGATGACCTTGGTTTTGAGTGTCCTCGTGGCTACTTCCCAATGAATGATTAGGACTAAGTGTCCTGTCCAGCACTTACCACAATGCTCTGTACATAATAGGTGCTCAATTAAAAAAAAAAAAAGACTTTATTTTCTGCCAGGCAGGATTGAAAATCCTAGGGTAGCCAAGTGAGCAGTAGATGGATTTTGAAGCAATGACTTATTTTAGATGCATGCCTCTGTTTCTTGAGCTGTAAAACGGACCCAGTAGGGACCTCCTCCACCCCCCCCCTCCCTCCAGCTGTCTGACCAGGATAAAGAACGTGTAAATCGCCATTGGGAGGCATGATGTAGCTCAGCCCAGGTTGAGCAGGTTGGAGCTCATTGGAGAAAACTTACTGACCACCTTCTATGTGCACCTCCACGCCGTGCTTTACCCAGGCTACCTGACCAAAGCTTGGGGCGGCCCCACGGGGTTGGAACTCCATCTGTGCCCATTACAGTCGTTGTCTAGTTCAATGACTATACTGTTGAGGCTTGGGGGGGGCGGCTGTGGAGGATCCAGGAATGATCTAGGAGGGGTGTCTATAATCAAGTGAAGGAGACAGCGGGGCAAAGCTCCTCTGCTTTCATCCCTTCCCCAGGGGATGAGGGAATAGGGGAGTTAAAGATGTGGCCACCTAGGAAAGTGTTCAGGGAATGGAAACAGCACATGCAAAGGCCCTGGGGAAGAAACATGCCAGAGACCTTGAAAGAAAAGCAGGGAGGCCCCGTGGGGCTGGAGCTGGGTGTGGGAGGGGCTCTTGGGAGGAGGGGGGAGCCACAGAGCTCAGCAGAGCCCCCGCTCCCCTTCAGATGGTAATGAGGGCCACAGAGAGGATTAAAGAAGCTACCTAGTGCCCAGTACTCTGGGCACAGAGTACGTGCTCAACAAATGCACCTCCCTTTGCTCTGCTCTCTTGGGTACTCTACCCTCTGTGCTTCCCGCTTAGAAGGTTCTTTGGGAAATTCCGACCCCTGGTGGTGGCTTTGATAAGGACTGGCCTTCCTCTGCCCTCTGGTGGTGGAGAGGAGGAGGAGAGGGAGGATTTTGGTTGAAGGCAGGGGCCTTCTCCATGATGGAGACAGGCTTGGGACGTGAGGGAGGGGTGTCATGGAACCAGAGCAGCCCCTAGGATGAGTCCCCTCCAAAATAGCCCCCCTATACTCTTCAGAAACTGCCCTAGGCAAGCCAGGCCCCACCATGAAGACACATGGGGCTCAGAGCAAAAACTATGTGTCCTTCAAGCAAGAAGGCAGCGTCTCTGAGCCTGGGCTGTGGGATGGGGGCACCCTGCTCCCCATTGGGCAGGGAGACTTCCAGGGTACAGGCCAGTTCCTGGGGCTTCTTCCACCCCACCCTCTTTTTGTTGTTGTTGGTGGTGGTCTTGGGGCTTGAACTCTAGGCCTGGGCGCTGTCCCTCAGCTCTTCAGCTCAAGGTGAGTGCTCTACCACTTGAGCCACAGCACCACTTCAGGTTTTCTGAGTGGTTAATTGGAGATAAAAGTCTTATGAACTTTCCTGCCCGGACTGGCTTTGAATGGTGATCCTCAGATCTCAGCCTCCTGAGCAGCTAGAATTACAGGCGTGAGCCACCGGCACCTGGCTTAGTCCCTGGGGCTTTGTGGGGCCTGGGATACCCCTCTTGCCACCCGACTGGGGGGTGGCTGCTATGTGTGATGGCCAGCTTTGGGCCTCTCCTTTGGGGTGTCCTCCAGATCCCTGCCCCAACCTGGGCTTCTCTGGGTCTTCGTCTCACCCTAGCTCAGCAATGGGCCCCAAGCTAAGCCAGTCAGCACTCGAAGCCTCAGTTTCCCCTCTGGCAGCCCCTGGGAGGGTCCCCAATGCCCGCGTATCTCCTCCTGGCCAGGTCCAGCGGGCGGCGGATGGCCAGGGCGGTCCGTGACTTCCTGGAGGCCCAGCAGGTGCAGGCGCCGGTGGAGCTGTACTCCAACTGGCTCTCCGTGGGCCATGTGGATGAGTTCCTGAGCTTCGTGCCCACCTCCGACCGCAAGGTGCGCCCCCTGCCCCCCCACCCCTCCGCCCCTGCCGGAGCTTCCTCCGCCCTGGCCAGCCTGGGGGCTGGGCGGGGCAAAGCCACCATGCAAGATCAACTCAGCAGGCTCAGCCAGACTGGGGGGGGGGGAGGCTGGGGTCAGGCAGGGTCGTCAGGGTGGGCTCAGGGAGGAGGGGCCCCTGGGGGAACATTCATTTGCTCCCTTGCACAGTTATTTGGAGTCTATTCAGCTGAGTAAACAGGATTGTTCAGAGGCTGAGAGCTGAGGGTCTTGGTTCAAAGTCAGCCTGGGCAGGAAAAGTCTGTGAGCTTCTTATCGCCAATTAGCCACCAAAAATAAGTAAGTAAATAAATAAATAAATAGCTGGAAGTAGAGCTGTGACTCAAGTGGTAGAGTGCCAGGCTTGAGTGCAAAAGCTAAGGGACAGTGCCCAGGCCCTGAATGCCAGCTCCATTACTAGCACGCACACACACACACACACACACACACACACACAAATACATAAAATGCTAAGAGTTTACTCAGACCAAACCCATCAGCTAAAAGCCAGGAATTGTCATAAACGGTCATAAATTGTTACCAACTAAGTAGCAAACAGTATTCACTTTAATTCATGCAACCTTCTCAGAAGCCTGCTATTATTATTTTTGGGGAGGTCACTTCCGGCTTTTTTCTTTTTGCTTATGTGGTGTTGAGGAATCGAACCCAGGGCCTCAGGCATGCAAGGCAAGCGCTCTACCACTGAGCCACCTTCCCAGCCCTGTTATTATTATTATTATTACTATTATTATTATTATTTTATCAGTCCCATCTTGCAAGTAAGGAAGCAGCTCAGAAGAGTCATTATCCCATCCTGGCTCACACAGCCTGCAGGTGTCAGGGTAACATTCACACCCAGATGTGGGCCTTGACCTGGCAGAGGACACAGGGAGGGCTGCTGCAGCTAGAGAAGGAAGGCCCGAATTCCCACCCAGCCCTGGTGAGAACTCTGATGGGGGGATGGCACAGGCTGCCTCTGCCAGTGAAGGAGACACCTGAATTGGGTGAAGATGGGAATTGAGTTCCCTGGTAGGCAAGTAGAAAAGGCCTTCCAGGCAGGGAGAACCGCAGAGGCAAAAGCCTGGAGGTAGGACCACCTAGGGGACTGGGAGCTGGATGGAGTTGTAGAGGAGTCTTGTGGCTGGTGGGTGGGATGGAGCAGGGAAGAAGGGAGTCCCGTGTGCTATCTGCCTCCTGCACGTGGCCTGCTGGCTTTGGGGGTCTTCTGTGCACTGAGCCATTTTCTTCCCCCATGCCAGGGTTTCCGGCTGCTCCTGGCCAGTCCCAGTGCCTGCCTCAAACTGTTCGAAGAGAAGAAGGAGGAGGGCCATGGGGAGGCAGCCCAGTTTGATGGTGAGTGGCCCCGGCGCCCCTGCCCTGGGAGAGATCTAGTGCTTTTCCCTGCCAGCCCTGGGCCCGTTCACCATGTTCCTCTGAGAGCCTGGGGTGGCTTGAGCCATGCCCGCACTCAAAGCTGGGGCCAGCGTGTGGCCGCAGGGCCTGGGGTCCTCTGATGACCTGCCAGCTCAGGGTCCCTGCCCCCGGGACAGGAGCACAGGGAGGAGCCCTGAGCCCTTCCTTGCTTGACCTGGGTTCGAATCCCAGCCTCACTACTGGCAGGCTGTGGGACCAATCAGAGGTGTGCTTTGAACCCCCCTGAACGGCTTCCTCTTCTCTTAATTGATGGTGGTAATTAACCCCTTCCAGGACTGTTTAAAGATTGCTAACAAATTAAGGACGGTTCCCAGAGATGGTGGGTGTTCCATTAATAGGTCGATGGTGGGTGGCCATTAATGAATAGTCCCAGAGTCCCTTCCTGAGGAGTTGCTGATCCAGTACCCTGGTCTTACTTGCAGCCAGCGCCAGGCACCCTCAGGGGTTTCCAGCTTGTGATGGAAGGAAATCCTGGCCTGGATTCAGCTGCTCCCTGGCTTCCCTCGGCCAGGACTTCTGAGGGCAAAGCTGTTTCTCTCTTGCAGGGTTAAAGCACAAAGCAAAGAGAACCATCAACGAGCTACTGGCAGACAGACACCTCAGGAAGGACAGCCTCCACGTACAGGTGAGGGGAAGCTCCCCTCTGCCCCCGACCAACAAGCCACAGCCTCCTGGGAGAAGCTGGGGGAGCCGGAGAAATCCTGTACAGAGAATAAACACTCTGGGATGGTGCGGGCCCTGTGCCAGGCACAGCCGGACTGGGGTGTTCATTACAGCCACAAGACCTGCCGGAGCCAGAAACTGCCCAGCTCCCAAGCCTAACCCCACTGCTCCTTAGCTCTGTGCCATCTCTCAGGCTGCTTGTGCCTCAGTTTCCCCATCTTAGGACAGCCTTGGCTCCTATGGCACCGAGCTGATGTGGCTCGGAGAGGCTGACAGGCGCGGCATGCCGTAGACGCTTACATCTTAGTGCCTTCCGCGCACCCCCTTCCCCTCCTCCCCTGTGCACTCCGCTTCTCCCCAGAAATGCATCGACTGGAACCGCGAGGTGCTGAAGCGGGAGCTGGGCCTGGTCGAGAGCGACATCGTGGACATCCCACAGCTCTTCTTCCTGAAGGGCGCCTATGCCGAGGCCTTCTTCCCCGACATGGTGAGGCCGGGCCCGTGGGGTCCTGTGGGTGGGAGCTGCCCCAGGATGGATGGGAGGGTGCCGTCTCCAGCCTGCCCTGCACACAGAGAGGATTCACTGGGGAGACTGAGGAGGGGGGAGGCGGTGCGGGCCTGCTTCCCTGCCCTCCCACTTGCTCACTGTGAGACCTGGGACATGCCACCTACTGGCCTTCTGAGGGCCTCAGTTTCCCCATCTGACACAAGAAGTCAGCCACAAATCTCCTCAGGGCCGTTCCCGTTAGGATGGCCCGGGATCCTTCAGGGAGCTTAGGCTGAGCTAGAACATTCTCCCAGATGGGCATCTGATGGGGAAGGGGCCCTTCTAGCAGGTGGGGGCTGGACCTGGCCCAAGGAGGGCTGGCCAAGGACACGGGCTCCCACTGAGCCAGAACCCCTGGGCCTTTGGCATGTCCTGTCCACCAGCCACACATGGCTACCAGAACAAATGCTCCTCTTCTTCCTTCACGCTAGCCACGCATCAAGAAGAATCATGGAAACATTCTGACAATTCTCAAGGGGGCTAGTCACACCCCATGGCTAGTCACAACTAGGGGTCACTAAGCTGTCACCTGGGCCTGGCCAGAGAGGGCCTCTGAGCACACTCTGGTGCACAGGCAGCACTCAGCCCAACCCCCAGGACCATGGGCTTCCTGTAGGACACGGGGGCTTGGACCTCCACCCATGAGAAGCCAGGAAGAAGTGTGGGTCCCAGGCTTCATCTCTGTGTCTTGGCTCATCTGCTGAGAGCCACCCAAGGTGCCCAAAGGCACAGAGAGGAGGGTCCTGCCCCACCCGCCACTGCAAGCCCCCAGCGTCCTTCCCCAGGGGTAATGGGTCCCTGGGCCAGGCCTGCCCCCATGGGACAGCTCAGGCCTCTCACAGGTGGTACACAGGGGAGACCACATGGACTCACCTGCTTGGCAGCTGCTGGGCAATGAGGGCCAGCGAGGCTGGGCTGCCCACTGCACTGCCCGCCAGACTGGGGAGCCTCCCTGAGGAGCCACAAGGTGGGGTGGGGGTGGAGGGTGAGGGGTAGAACTGCAGCTGTGGGCACAACAGAAGTATGAAACATGGTGACGACCTCCTCCTCCTCCTCCTCCTCCTCCTCCTCCTCCTCCTCCTCTTTCTCTTCCTCCTCCTCCTCCTCCCTCTTCTTCTTCTTCTAGTCTGGAAGATGCAATCTCCCTGTGGTGGGGACCAATCGGCACATCCCTGCCCCTACCCTGTTGTGTCCCATCATTCACACTACAAGCTTTATGTTGATGAATGCCCTGCATAGCCACCAAGGGCGGACTGCAGGTGGAAGGCTCAGGGTCCAGGACAGCTTCCCCCATCCCTGGGATAACCCAGGGCCACACCCCAGGGGCTTGAGGGTCCCACGATCGTGAAGAGCACCCTGTACCCCCCACCTTGTTCCACCCCTCCCTTCCATCCACCTAGGGCTATTTCCTCTAGGAATCCTCCACATACCCCACATTGGGGCCCTAAGCCAGAACGGCTGACAGGGGAAACAGAGGTACCATCAGAGGTACACTCCATGTCCCGAGGGCTGCCAGCCCCCTGCCCTGACTCCTCAGCCCCACAGATGACCCCTGACTCTGGAGGAACATGGGGAAAGAGCATGCTTTTGGGCATGAGTCGGGTCCAAGTTCCCTAGTCACCAGCTGGCTGGCCGGCTGGCTGAGTGGCCGTGATGTTCCCCGTGAGGTTTAGTGATAACGCAGCTGGGGCATAGATGCTGCTCAGTAAGCAGGGATGGTGAGCGGCGAGCAGAGACTGCCAAAGGCAAGCAAGCAAGCTGTGTGTTGTGCAGGACCCCCTCACAGCATAGAGATATCCCGGACACTGCCAGGACACACGCCCTGGCTGAAGGAGACGGCCTGATCTCTGGACACAAGGCTGCTGCCACAGCAGAGTTCTCTGATTGGCCAAGTGTGTGATTGACAGTTCTGGCTGGCGTTAACCTGCCCACCCCACCTCACTGCTTCTGTTTCTTCTCTGCTGGCTCCTGAGCAAGGCCCGCAGTCCTGCTGGTCAGGATGCTGGCGAGGACCGGGCTGGCTTTGCCTGGCCAGGGCTTGAGTGACATCTCAGGGGCAGGGCCTGGCGGCCAACGCAGCCCCGCTCTTGTCTTCTCGGTCTTCTGCAGGTGAACATGGTGGTCCTTGGCAAATACCTGGGCATCCCCAAGCCCTATGGACCCCTCATCCATGGCCGCTGCTGCCTGGAGGAGAGGGTGCGTGCGCTGCTGGAGCCCCTCGGCCTGCACTGCGTCTTCATCGATGACTATCTGTCTTACCACAAGCTGCTGGGCGAAATCCACTGTGGCACCAATGTGCGCAGGAGACCCTTCGACTTTAAATGGTGGCACATGGTGCCCTGAGCACGCGCCTGCCCGGCCTGCCGTCCTGCTGGCGGGGAGCCCCAGAGCCTGCTGGCTGGCTGGCCGGCCATGGGGCACCCCGGACTCCAGGCAAGGGGGACATCCCCCTTCCTCATCCCCAGAGCGACCGGCCCACACCAGCAAGGATGGACCTCACGCTCCCCTCTCCTCCTCTCCCAGCTCCCCGAGATCCAAGATCAAGACCTGGACATGCACAAGCATGGGTGTGGGGCTCCGCAGGCAGACCCCACTCTGAATTGCTCCCCCTCAATTCAAACACCTCCCAGGGTGGAGGGAAATGGCCAGAGGACCTGTGCTTTGGGGTGACGCCTCCCCCACTCCAGGTGGCCTCTGGCTTCTATGAGACAAAATGGGAGATTTGAGGTATTCTCTCTCTAAAGTGGACCCCAGGCTGGGGCCTTCTCCCCATACCCCCAGCTCCCTTCAACCTAGGTAGGCAAACAAGGGCCTGAAACAGCCACACTGAGGACTTGTTTTGTAAAGGAAAAGAAACAGCCTAATAGGAAATCCCTTTAATCTCTGACTCCATCTTCAAAAGTGCTCATTACCCTTGAGTTGAGCCTCTAATTACTAGCTAGCCGCTTCTGGCTAGAAAACGCAGAGAGGCAGTGAGGGCCAGGAGGCTGCTCAGAGGAGGAGGACAGGGCAGGAGGGATGGCCAGGGAGGAGGCTGAGGACAGGTGACGGTGGACCAGGGCCCCATTCATCTGGACACAGGTGCCCCATGACTGTGGACTTCGGACTTGGAAGGCAGTGGGCTTTCCAGATGTGGCTGGGTGGGGGCCAAGATGTTAGCCACAGAAGGCAGGAGACAATTAGGTTTATCTCTGAAGGCGGGGTGTAATTTCCTCTAATGGTCTTTAATTATTCCCCCTCCCCCTGCAGGCAGGGAAGGGGGGGACCTCTAAGGCAGGCCTACGCCCCCTCCCAGGGAAGGGCCCAGGGCTGGCCGGAGCAGCTGGGCCCTGGGTGAAGTCAGAGGCCCGTGCTGGCAGGAAGGCTGGCTGGGCTGCAGAGCAGATTTGGGGGTGGGAGGGCAGCCTGCCCTCCCCTCCCCCAGGCTGCAGGACCAAGGCAGGTGCTAAACATTGGAGAGACCCAGATGGAAAAAGCCTCTAGTCAACAAGGGCTTCCGTGCATCTGCAAGGGTCCTGCAGGAATTGGCTACTCCCCTTCTAGAAGGTTCTGTGAGCTCCCTTTGCCAGCTCCTACTGGAACCAGGACGCCCTCCTCCAGGAGCCCACACTCATCAGGAGAGGCTGAGCCATGAAGGAGAAGGAAGCTCATGGGAGGGGGGAGGGGAAGGGGGAGGGGGAGAGACCATGGTTGAGGGGAGAGAACTTCTGAGCTGCTCCAAATGGGGGGGGGGGGGGTTCTGGAGTGGCCACCAGGGCCATGGAGAGGCCCTGGGGGACCAGTCAATCCCTGTCTGATCAATAAAAACATCAACATGCATTGCTTTCAGTGCTGTCTCCTTGGCCTCTGCCGGCTGGGCTGGGGAAGGGAAGAGGGGAAGTGAGGGAGGGGCAGGGAAGGGGGGGAGGGAAAGTGAGGGACTGGGAAGAAGGAGGGGAGAGTGAGGGATGGGATGGCCGGGGAGCACGGGCGGCAGCAGCTGGTTCAGGAGGCAGGATGGCACATACCACGCGGCCTGGGGCCTCCCTGCTGAGATGGCATCAGGAGGGAGAGGCCCTACTGCTTCCCTCCGGCCCTTGAGTATCTCTTCCATCTGTCTGCGGTTTGGGTGAGAGGGGGAAGAGCCTGGGCCGATGGGCGCTGGGGGGCTGTCAATCCCTCCTAGCAGCCTTGGCTCCTAAACCGGAAGATGTCACCCTGAATCTCTGGCACTTGCTGCCACCTGAAGTGCCCCCCCCCCACACTTATTTTAGCTTTTGTTGTGGACTAGGAAGCAAAAAGTTGATGAGTCCAAATGAACTGTGTGTGTGTGTGTGTGTGTGTGTGTGTGTGGTTGCAGCTCAGGGCCTCACATTCACTTGGTTGGATTGCTCCACTGGTGTTCTACCTTTTGAACCACACCTCCAGCCTGACATTTTTCACTGGTTACTTTGGAGAGGGAGTCTGGCACACTTTCCTGCCCAGGCTGTCCTTGAACTGCCCACCTCTAGATCTCAGTCTCCTCAGTGGCCAGGACCACTGGCACCCAGTTTCCCCTCTGACAGCTGACTGTTGGCCAGGGAAGCAGTGTAGGCCTGGGCTACTTCCCGAGGGAGGGACGGGACCGCCGCGGGCCACTTTCCCAGAATGGCTCCTTCCCCAGTGTTGCTTGGAGGCAAGTGAGGAGGGCTGTGTGGGGCTTCTGCCTGACCTCGGCCCTCCCCAGAGCTGACTGGGCCACTGAGGCCATGTTACACTGGAAACAGGGAGTCCTGGACCCAGATGTTTCCCATACGTGGGCTTTACCAACCAGCTGGGAGCCTTGGACAGCACTAGCGTGTCAGCTGAGGTCCAGTCCCCGCCCTTCCTGGCGGTCAGCAGCATGGAGAAGGGAGAAGACTTGGATTCAGCACCTTCTGAGCCCCTGCCGGGCAGGGCAGGGCACAGGCTTGCCATTATCTCTGCTGGTGCTGGTGACTAGTCACATTTTCTACGGATGAGGAAACTGAGGCCGGGAGAGGGGAGCTACCACCCTCCCAGGGCTGCTTCACTGATGTGTGTGGGAGAAGTCGTTTCCCCTTCTTAGAGCCCTTCCTCTTGTGGTTCCAGGTGGGCCCTGGCCTCGGTTTCCCCACTGGACAAGTGAGCATCTTGCTCTGACCTTCTCAACCCCCGACATGTCACCCCCAGTGACATCAACGGCAGCAAGATGAATTGAGTTCCACATTGGAGTGCCAGCAGTCTTGGCCACGTCCAAGACAGCTCAGCCAGGCTGGTGAGGCGGGGCGAAGCCCCCTCTGCGTGTGTCATCCAGGCTGTATGGAAAAGGCTGGCTTTGCTCTAGGCTGGTCAGAAGGTTTTAGAGCCTGCAGGCCTAGCTACACAGGAGGCTGAGGTCTGTCTGAGGATTGTTGTTTGAAACCAGCCTGGGCAGGAAGGTTTGTGAGACTCTTATTTCCAATTAAACAGTAAAAAGCCTGAAGTGGAGGTCTTGCTCAAGCAGTGAAGCATCAGCCTTGAGCAAAAACGTTAAGCAAATCTGCCGGGCACCAGTGGCTCACACCGGTAATCCTAGTTACTCAGGAGGCTGAGGTCTGAGAAAGCCAGCCTGGGCAGGAAAGTCCATAAGACTCTTATCTCCAATTAACCACCAGAAAACCAGAAGTGGCTCTAAGTGGTAGAGCACTAGCCTTGAGTAAAAAGAGCTCAGGACAGTGCCCAGGCCTTGAGTTCAATCCCCCAACTGATTTTAAAAAAAGAAAAAGTGCAAATCCCTGAGTCTGAGCCACAGTACTGGTGCACGCACGCGCATGGGCGCGCGCACACACACACACACACACACACACACACACACACACACACACACGGGCTTTGGGGGGGTGAGGAAGGGTCCACATCAATGCCTCAGGTCTCTGCACACCCTCCTCCCTTTTCCCCAACAACCCCTCCTGCCTTGGCCTGTGGGGACTTGCTCCCCTTAGATCTAGGAATTAACTCCCTGCATGCCCTAGGTGAGTGCAGCAGGTTCATATGCAAATATGGGGGCCTTTCCAGCCAATCCTGAAGAGACGATTGGCTCTTGGGCATCTAGGAAGGGGCTGAGCTTCCAGGACTAAAGCCAATGAGCTTGTGCCCAGGGCCGGAGGGGTGGGGCTAGGGACTTTTAAACCACTTTCCAAGGGGGCCCATGGGCAGTGCTGGGTTTGGTGGCCCGAGCCCAGTCCAAGGTCAGCATGTCTCTGCAGAGGATGGTGCGTGTGTCCCTGGAGCACCCCACCAGTGCCGTGTGTGTGGCTGGTGTGGAGACCATCGTGGACATTTACGGGTAAGAGCCAGAGGCCCTGGAGGTTTGTGGGTCCTTGGGACCGATGCCCAAGGGCCCTCCCTCCTTGGAGCATGTAGGGGCCAAGGCCTGGCTGCCCATTCCCCTGACTTGGCCTTAAAACAACTGCCAGTTGGGGATACTTGGACCCTTGCTTTTATCCGCTGAACTGGGATGGGGCTGGGGACAGAAAGGCTGGAGGGATGCACAAGAGACTCACGGGCTGAGGTGGGTCTTGGGGATTGGAAGCTGCAGATGCCATGGGGCGCTGGGCAGCTTGTTCAGAGATCCTGTAGGCTGGGCTGGGGGTCTGCCTGGTGACTCCGGAACAAGGTGAGGTGCCCACTTTCACCCGCTGCCCCTTAGCGTATGCGCTTGAAACCGCATACGTCATTTTTTTAGAAAGATCCTATCTGCTTGTCTAACATTTCCGGGGGTGGGGAGTGGAAGAGGTCACTCTAAAATGTAAAACTCTATCATCTGTTCTGAACACAGCCCTCTGGCTGGGTCTTGCTGTGGTCATCTCAGTCTGATAGATGGGCAAGTTGAGGCACAGAGAAGGTGAGCCATGTATTTGAGTCACACAGTAACCAGTGGCAGAGCTCGGATCCAAAGCCACCCACCGGCTTGCTCAGACCCTCTGCTTCCAGCCAGACGCCAGCTGTGGTCTCAGATCCCTTTCCCCTCTCTCTCCTTCAATTGTTCCTGGGCCTTTATGGTTTAGGCGGTGGGGCCTTTCTCTGTGTGTCTCTCTCTGTAGGCAAAGAGGGTGTGGCTAGGGGTTCAGGAGCCAGGCCCTGGCTTCTAGGATTTGAGGAGTCTGGTCTGGAGCTCAGCTCTGGACGGAGGGTGGGGGGAGTGTCTGACCCCTGTGACCAGGGTCCCCTCTCCTCAGCAGCCTCCTTGGCCTGGACCTCCTAGAGACCAGAACCACCCCCACCCTGCTGTGGCCATCCTCAAAGGGTTTTCCAGATATGTCCGGCTAAGCCCTACCAGGCAAAACTACCTACTCCTGGAAAACAAATATCCTAGAATAAGAGTT